AATTAATCCAGAGATGTAAGGGTGATTCAGTATCTGCTCATCAATGTGATCTACTACTTTAATGTAATGAAGGATAAAAATTATACAGTTGATACAGAAAAAGCATTTGACAGATTTCAACATCCATTTATGATAAAAATTCTCAACAAAGTGGGTTTAGAGGGGACATACTTCAACATAATAAAGGCCATATTTAACAAGCCTACAGCTAACATCATACTTGATGATAAAAAAATTTTTTTCTGCTAATGTCAGGAATAAGACAAGGATGCCTACTCTTGCCACTTTTATTCAACATAATACTGAAAATCCTACCTATAGCAATTAGGTGAAAGAAAAGGCATCCAAGTTGGAAAGGAAGAAGTAAAACTGTTACTGTCTACAGACACCATGATAAATTAAAAAGTCCACCAAAAACACACTTAGAGCCAGTAACTTAGGTAAAGTTGCAGATAGAAATGTCAATATACAAAAATCTGTTGAATGTCTGTACACCAATAACAAACTATCAGAGAGATAAAATAATCCCACTTACAATTGCTTTAAACAAGAATAAAATATTACAAATAAATTTAGCCAAGGAGATGAAAGACCTGTACACTGGAAACTGTAAGACACTAATGAACAAAATTGATGAAGACACAAATAAATACAAAGGTATCACATGCTTGTGGATTGGAAGCAGTTGCTACTCAAAGCAGTCTATAGCTTTAATTCAATCCCTATTAAAGTTCTAATGGGATTTTTCACAAAACTAGAACCAACCTGAAATTTATATGGAACCACAAAAGACAGCAAAAAGCCAAAGCACTCAACACACCATTGACTGGAGGTGTATTAATGTGGTTTTAGAGAGTGATGGAATTACCATTATTGTGCGGAGCTCTTAGAGCTTAAAATTGATCAAGGGTCCACTAAACTTCACGTTTTGCTCCGTTAGGCTTTTGTCCCAGTCTTGTATACAGTGTAAACGTAAAATTTTCAGAATTGACACAATGCAAAATTTTGAGTGAAGAATTTTAAGTGAATTTTATGCAGATCCTTTGAGCAACAAACATACTAGTGTTTCAGAAGACGATAGCTCTTCACAATATAGTTCTGATTCAGACAATGTGAACATTAGACCAACAAAAAGACAAAAAACTTCAGAGATTGATTCTGATATGGAAAGTGAAAACACTCTCATGGTGTTGGAGAGTGCTCCTTTGCCTTTGCAGAAGAGTAAAGACAACAGTTTACAAAAATTAGAAAACTTTACCGGTGTCAGGTGTAACTATTGAATGTAATAACCCCAAAAGTGTTAGTGAAATAACAAAATTAATTTTTGGTCAGCTAAAATAAAAATCACTGTCCACAGGTGTGTGTTTGTGCAAAAATTCCCCGGTCAATAATGAATTACGACAAACAGAGGTGGAGGCATCATGCTCCCTGATTTCAGACTGTGTTGAAAAACTGCAGTAATCATACATAAAAAAATAAAATCACAGCATAAAAACAGAAACAAAGATCAGTGAAACAGACTAGAGAGCCCAGAAATAAGCCCACTTATATATGGTCAACTAATTTACAACAAAAGAGCCAAAAATATACAAAGGGGAAAGGACATTTTCTTCAATAAATGGTTTTGGCAAAACTGGACATTCACATTCACTGTCTTACACTATACACAGTAGCTCAAAACAGACTAAAGTCTATAAGATCTGAAACCATAAAAGTCCTAGGAGAAAATATAGGTACTCAGCTCCTTGACATCAGTCTCAGCAATGTTTTTGGATCTGACACCAAAACCAAAGGCCACAAAAGCAAAAATAAATAAGAGGAATTGTGTGAAACTAAAAAGATTCTACAGAGTAAAAGATCCCATCAATACAATGAAAAGGCAACCTACTGAATGGGAGAAAATCATGCATCTGATAAGAAGTTAACATCCAAGATAACTTACACAACTCAAAAATAAAAATCCAATTAAAAAATAAGCAGAAGATCTGAATATATTTCAGAAGATATACAAATGGTCAACAGATACATGAAAAGGAGTTTAGTGTCACTAATCATCAGGGAAATGCAAATCAAGACCACCATGAGCTATCACCTCACATCTATCAATGGCTATTATAAAAAAAAAAAACGAAATAACTGTTGGTAAGGAAGTAGAGAAAAAGGAACTCTAGTGCACTTTTGGTGAAAATGTAAGTTAGTGCAGCCACTATGAAAAGCAACATGGAGGCTCCTCAATCAAAAGCAGAACTTCCATATAATCCAACAAATCCACTTGTGGGTATTTATCTGAAGGAAACAAAAAGTAACTCAAAAAGATACATACCCACATGTTCAATAAAAAATGACAGAATAATCTATGTATGTTTCCAAGGCAAACCATTTAACATCACAGTAATCCAAATCTATGCTCCAACCACTGATGCCAAAGAAGCTGAAGTTGATCAGTTCAATGAAGACCTACAAGACCTCCTAGAACTAATACCCAAAAAAGATGTCCTGTTGGAATGGAAAAGTAGAAAGTCAAGAGATACCTGGAGTAACAGGCAAGTTGGACCTTGGAATACAAAATGAAGCTGGACAAAGACTAACAATTCTGCCAAGAGAATGCACTGGTCATAGCAAACACGGTTTTTCAACAACACAAGAGACGACTTTACACATGGACATCACCAAAGGGTCAATGCCAAAATCAGATTGATTACATTCTTTGTAGCCAAAGGTGAGAAGCTGTATACAGTCAGCAAAAACAAGACGTGGAACTGCCTGTGGCTCAGATCATGAGCCCCTTATTGAAAAATTCAGACTTTAACTAAAGAGAGCAGGGAAAAACACGAGGCCAGTCAGGTACGACTTAGATCCCCTATGAATATACGGTGGAGGTGATGAATAGATTCAAGGGATTAGATCTAGTAAACAATGCCTGAAGCTCTGTAGGTAGAGATTCGTAATTTGGTCAGTAGGCAGTGAGTATAATCATCCCAAAGGAAAATAAATGCAAGAAGGCGAAGTGGGCTGAGGAGGCTTTACAAGTAGCTGAGGAAAGAAAAGAAGTAAAAGGGAAGGAAGGAAGGGAAAGGTACACCCAGCTAAATGTAGAGTTCCAGAAAATAGCAAGGAGAGACAAGAAGGCATTCTTCAATGAACAATGCAAAGAAACAGGAAAAGAACAGAAGGGGAAAGACTAGAGATGTCTTCAAGTAAATTAGAAATATCAGAGGAATATTTCATCCAAAGATGGGCACAATAAAGGACAGAAATTAGGTGAAGACCTAATAGAAGCAGAGAAGATTATGAAGAGATGGAAAGAATACAAAAAGATCTTAATGACCCTGGTAACCATGGTGGTGTGGTCACTCGCCCAGAGCCACACATTCTGGAGTATGAAGTCAAGTGGGCCTTAGGGAGCACGGCTACCAATAAAGCTAGTGGAGGTGATGTAATTCCAGTAGAGCTATCTAAAATCCTAAAAGATGATGCTATTAAAGTGCTGCACTTGATGATGTCAACCAATTTGGAAAACCTAGCGGTGTCCATAGGACTGAAAAAGGTCTATTCATCCCAGTTCCCAAGAAGGGCAGTAGTAAAGAATGTTGAAACTTCCGAACAATTGCACTCATCTCCCATGCTAGTAAGGTTTTGCTCAAAATCCTGCATGCTAGGTTTCAGCCTTATGTGAACCAGGAATTTCCAGATGTTTCACCTGGGTTTAGAAAAGGCAGAGGAACCAGGGATCAAATTACCAACATTCACTGGATCATAGAGAAAGCAAGGGAATTCCAGAAAAACACCTACCTCTGTTTCACTGACTATGCTAAAGCCTTTGTGTGGATCATAACTGTGGAAAATTCTAAAAGAGATACGGCCACTTTACCTGTCTCCTGAACAGGTCAAGAAGCAACAGTTAGAACCTTATATGGAACAACTGACTGGTTGAAAATTGAGAAAGGAGTACAACAAGGCTATTTATTGCCACCCTGTTTGTTTAACTTACATGCAGAGCATATCATGTGAAATGCCAACTGACTAAGGTACAAGCTGGAATAAAGATTGCTAGGAGAAATATCAGCAACCTCAGATATGTGGATGACACCAGTTTAACGGCAGAAAGCGAAAAGGAATTAAGAATTTCTCAATGAGGGTGAAAAAGGAGAGTGAAAAAGCTGGCTTAAAACTCAATATTAAGAAAACGAAGATCATGGCATCCGATCCCATCATTTCATCACTTTATGGCAAATAAAAGGGGAAAAGGTAGAAGCAGTGATGGATTTCCTCTTCTTGGACTCTAGAAGTCACTGTGGATGGTGACTGCAGCCATGAATTTAGAAGACAGTTGCTTCTTGGCAGGAAAACTAAGACAAACCTAGAGAGGGTATTAAAGAGTAAAGACATCACTTTGCCAACAAAGGTCTGTATAGTCAAGGCTATGGTCTTTCCAGAAGTCATGTATGGATGTGAGAGCTGGACCGTAAAGAATTCAGAGCACCAAAGAATTAATGCTTTCGAACTGCAGTGCTGGAGAACGCTCTTGAGAGTCCCTTGGACAGCAAGGAGATCATACCTTTCAATCTTAAAGGAAATCAACCCTGAATACTGATTGAAAGGACTGATGCTGAGGCTCTGATACTTTGGCCACCTGATGTGAATAGCTGACTCATTGGAAAAGACCCTGATGCTGGGGAAAATTGAAGACAGAAGGAGAAGAGGGCAACAGAGGATGAGATGGTGAGGGATAGGGAAGTCTGGTGTGCTGCAATCCATAGGGTTGCAAAGAGATGGACTTGATTTGACAACTGAAGAACAGCTACCCCCATGTTCACAATAACCAAGATATAAAAACAGCCTACATGCTCACTGATGGATGAATGAATAGCTTTTTAAAATGGCATGTATATGTTTACTATATGGCATAACTACATACACACACACACATTTATATATAGGCTTCCCCGGTGACTCAGTGGTAAAGAACCCACCTGCAGTGCAGGAGGCTTGCAGGAGACATGGATTTGATGCCGGGGTCGGGAAGATCTCCTGGAGAAGGAAATGGCTACCCACTCCAGTATTATTGCCTGGGAAATCCCATGGACAGAGGAGCCTGGTGGGCCACAGTCCATGGGGTCTCAAAAGAGTTGGACACTACTAAGCGACTAAACAACAACAAATATATATATATATATATAAAATATATATCAGCAATAAAAAAGGAAATCTCGCTGCCTGTGAAAAGTTGCATGGATCTTGAGGGCATTATGCTAAGTGAAATAAATTGGACAAAGACAAATTATCTCACTTGTATGTGGAATTTAAAAACAGACATACAAACCAAAACTGAACTCAGAACAGAATGGTGGGTACCAGTGGTGAGGGTGGGGTGGGGTGGGGTATTTGAATGGGTGAAGGGAATCAAAAGGTACAAACTTCCATTTATAAAATATTAAGTCCGAAAAAAAAAATATTAAGTCCGGGTGATGTAATGTAGAGCATGGCAACTATAGTTAATAACACGCTGCTTACTTGAAACTTGCTAAGAAAGTAGATCTTAAAAGTTCTTATTAAAAGAAAAGAATTGTAACTATATGTTGTAACAGATGTTAATAAGCCTTTTTGTGATTGTTTTGCAATATATACAAATATCAAATTATGTTGTACATCTGAAACTAATATATGTTAATTTTTAAAATAAGCGTGAAAACAATCTGTGGAATATTTAACTGAGTTACAGTTCAGCTGCCACATATAGGAAAACAGGCCTAAGGAATGCCCCTAGGGCAGGCAGGGTTAATGGCTGCTTGGGCAGGGCTCTCCAAGGGGTCTCTTCCACTTGGGATCCAGAGATTCTCAGCGCACTGGGAAGACAGGTCAGCAAAGACTGTAGCACAGGTAAGAACTGCACTGGGGTCCTTGGGGGTGTGAAGTAAATGAAGGTGAAGTGCCCAGGAGCTTCCTGTGGACTGGCAACACTTTGGTCTAGTTCCTGCTATCCCACCTCATGGTTCTATTCTCTCCTTCCTCACACAGTCTCTGCCTCCTCACAGACTGCCTTCTACCTCTGCTTTGTTCTTCCTGATAACCAGTAAAAATTTCAGGTGATGATTAAGGAAACTCACCATTTTGTATCCACAGCCTGATACAGGTCTTAATGTATAATAAGTATTTAATATATGTGTTAGATAACTGATTTTTAAAAAGGAAACCAAGAATGGTTAACAGTATTAATGCTTTGAAGTATATTACAACTATCATATTTCTACAAAGGATGAAAATTACAGGTTAAATCATCATTGCACAGGTCTTTCTAACATTTTGTGATTATGGAGATGAGAACAAATTTAAGTATTATGTGTGGCAAATAATAAATAAAATTGACATTGCTGATAACTGGAAGAATATTTTCTTAGTACTAAGTGTGTATTACTGAACAAGTGATAGCAGCTGAGCTCGTAAAATTACTAGCCTAATGATGGGGTGTTGGAGTAATAAGTGAGAAGCTCTTATAAAATAAGTATGAAAGAAAAATAGGCAAAACAACCAAGCCAACTAGATATCAAGATACATGTATAAAGTCGTAATTAAATGAGGTGGTATAATCGCATCAGTAAACAAATTCACATTTAATTTTTATTTATTTATCAGAAGGAAATGTTTATAACCTCAAGGTTGAAAAGGCTCTTAAGACCCGAGTCATTATAAAATGTAAAATTTCTTTATGAACTGTTTTACTAACAGTGGTAAAAGATCAGCAACTGAGAGATCTTTGCCAGTGCATAATATATGAGGGTAAAATCTAGAATATAAATTGAATTACTATTAATAATAAAAAGGAGACAATAGAAAAACATGCAAAAGAAAGTATAGCCAATAGGAAAATAAAGGTGGCCAATACAGTTTTTAAAATATGCCTCATCTTCTAAGTAATCAGAGAAATAAGTAAAAAATTTTAAGTTTTATAGTAAATATCAGCCAGGGTATAGGAAAATGGGGTCTTTCCTATACTGTTAGGGGGGAGATGGTATAAATAGGTACATGTGAAGGACATTTTAAAGTATGTATAAAAATTAAAAAATATATATTTTCTATAATCCCGGCAGGACTATCAAAACATTCAGCATGGAGATAGGGAGATCAGTATCAGGGTATATGTGCAGCAATATTTACATTAAAAATTTGGAGGAATCTAAATGATCCTTGAGAAACCTGTATGCAGGTCAGGAAGCAACAGTTAGAACTGGACATGGAACAACATACTGGTTCCAAATAGGAAAAGGAGTACATCAAGGCTGTATATTGTCACCCTGCTTATTTAACTTATATGCAGAATACATCATGAGAAATGCTGGGCTGGAAGAAGCACACGCTGGAATCAAGATTGCCAGGAGAAATATCAATAACCTCAGATATGCAGATGACACCACCCTTATGGCAGAAAGTGAAGAGGAACTAAAAAGCCTCTTGATGAAAGTGAAAGAGGAGAGTGAAAAAGTTGGCTTAAAACTTAACATTCAGAAAACTAAGATCATGGCATCTGATCCTATTACCTCATGGGAAATAGATGGGGAGACAGTGGAAACAGTGTCAGACTTCATTTTGGGGGGCTCCAAAATCACTGCAGATGGTGATTGCAGCCATGAAATTAAAAGACGCTTACTGCTTGAAAGGAAAGTTATGACCAACCTAGATAGCATATTAAAAAGCAGAGACATTACTTTGCCAACAAAGGTCCATCTGGTCAAGGCTATGGTTTTTCCAGTGGTCATGCATGGATGTGAGAGTTGGACTGTGAAGAAAGCTGAGCACTGAAAAATTGATGCTTTTGAACTGTGGTGTTGGAGAAGACTCTTGAGAGTCCCTTGGACTGCAAGGAGATCCACCACTCCATCCTAAAGGAGATCAGTCCTTGGTATTCACTGGGAGGACTGATGCTGAAGCTGAAACTCCAATACTTTGGCCACCTCATGCGAAGAGTTGACTCATTGGAAAAAACCCTGATGCTGGGAGGGATTGGGGGCAGGAGGAGAAGGGGATGACAGAGGATATGATGGCTGGATGGAATCACCAACTCGATGGGCATGAGTTTGAGTAAACTCTGGGAGTTTGTGATGGACACAGGGAGGCCTGGCGTGCTGCAATTCATGGGGTCGCAAAGAGTCAGACACGACTGAGCGACTGAACTGAACTGAAATGATCCTCATTAGGGGTATGACTAAGTTGTAATGTTTTTACAGTTGAATCCTATATACTAGTGTTTATAAGAAGATTTTGGTTAAATCCCTTTTTATGGGTCTGAAAACTTCCTGACACTCATATATAAGGAATGTTTTTTTTCTTTTCTCAGGAAAGATGGAAGTCAATTCTAATATATTGACCATTGATTTACTGTAATATATCAATTTACAAGATTTGTGTGCTGTTCTCCAAGAAAATAAGTACTCCTGTGAGAAGTCTTGGTTCATAAAAACATGTTTTTCTGTTCTTTAATGCATCTATTAGAAAATAAGAGGAAAACACCCCTTAGTGTCTTAAAGGGAACAAGAAAACTGAGATGAATATCACCTGGGTTCCAGAGTTTCTGTCATGGGAAGGAAAAGGAGCCACCCTTTCACTTTGCTTTCAGCAAATATTTTGGGTTTAAAAGCAGGCAAGTCACGTTTCAAGAGAAGTAACTTGTGTTGGAGCCATTGCCAGCCACATCCATCCTGTGTCCCACCTGTCTTTCCGTTCAGCAGACTAGCCCAAGCATGTGTTACGGCTGTGTCAGAATGCAAGAGGGCAAGGTCAGTTGCACAAGCGTTTTTCAAGCTTATGCTCATGTCACATTTTCTAACATCATATTGGCCAAAGCAAATCATAGTTCATTCCAAAGTCAGAGTGGAGTACTCTGCAAAGTTATGTGGCAAAGACATGAATATGGAAGAGGTGAAAAACTGGAAATATCTTTGACATCTTCCACATGTATCCATACTATTTCCCAGCAATATCATAGACTTCTAACCATTTTTCCACCCTGCTTCTTGGCACACACAAAATCATATGGCACAGTGGGGCAGAAAAATCAGGTTGCTCTTGGCCAGAAGTGACCTTGGCTATCCAAGGACCTAAATATCTAGGTAACTGGTAACCTATTGGCAGCACAGTGATATAAAGTCTATAAATAGGTGAATGCTTACATTGAAAGACTACCTATTATGGTTAAGTGCTGTACTCAATCTCAAGAAAAAAAATCAAAATTATTGATAAAAAATTTAATTTAGAAAAATATACTGGGCCATTTAACTGTAAACCTATAATTATTACTATTTCAAATGGACATATATATTTAGCACTATATCAGCTTTTAAAGTAAATTCTGTTGAAGTATAATTTGCACACAATAAACTATGCCCATTTAACTTGTACAGTTGGATCATTTTAATGGACTATAAAGAAAGCTGACTGCAGAAGAATTGATGCTTTTGAACTGTGTTGTTGGAGAAGACTCTCGAGAGTCCCTTGGACTGCAAGGAGATGCAACCAGTCCATCCTAAAGGAGATCAGACCTGCGTGTTTTTTGGAAGGACTGATGTTTAAGCTGAAACTCCAATACTTTGGCCACCTGGTGCGAAGAGCTGACTCATTGGAAAAGACCCTGATGCTGGGAGGGATTGGGGGCAGGAGGAGAAGGGGACGACAGAGGATGAAATGGTTGGATGGCATCATCAACTAGATGGACATGGGTTTGGGTGGACTCCGGGAGTTGGTGATGGACAGGGAGGTGATGGACACGACTGAGCGACTGAACTGAAGTATGTATTTGATTTAAAAATATTCATCTGTAATGATAATATATATTGTATGTATATTCATTTTAAAGCCACTGCTATAAAATTAGTTGGAGTGGCCATATTAATATCACATGAAATCAGTTTCAGATCAAATAATACCAGGGATAAAGAAAGTCATTTCATGATAATGCAGGGATTAGTCATTTAAGAGGACATAATTCTAAATGTTTGTACCCCTAAAATAACAAATCTTCAAATGCAAAAAGTAAAGACTGGTAAAACTACAGGAATACACAGTCAAATCAACATTTATAGTTGGAGATCTAAATACCCTTCTTTCAATTATTGGTAAGTAGAAAGTCAGCAAGGATACAGAAAATTCAAATAACACTATCAACCAAGTTGACCTGATTGACATTTACAGAAATAACAACAGAATAATAAACATTCTTAAGTGCAAACTTAAATTTAACAAGGTCATATTCTGGGTCATAAAACAGTTCTCAATAAATCAAAAATGTCATACAAAGTATGTCCTCTGAGCAAAACAGAATTAAATTGGAAGTTAGTTACAGAAAGAACTTTGGGAACTCTCCTGATATTTAGAAACTGCATAACACACTTCTAAATAGCTCAAAGAAGAAATCAAACTAATTAGAAAGTATCCAAAATGAATGAAA